TTGCCTTGCTGAGATTTCAGCATGGTAAACGTTAATTCAAATGAATCTCTCGTGATCATGTACATTAATATTTACTTAAATTTCTCGATTCCAATATCACGCATTCAAGAGCATCCACATTCACCATTTCAACATAATCTGATTATTTGCGATTCTTACCTTTTAAAATTTGCCACATAAATGTTTTAGAAATAATCTCATCCCCTCCGAATTACCTTAGACCATCATCCCGAAATAATTTGATCTTTTGTGGGTCCTGTAGGCTGTAGTAACTAATTAACTCTAATTTCATAAATAATATGTCCAATAATCTCTCTCACTCAACCATGCTCTCCGAAAAATCTGTCATGTCACTAGAATAATCACCTAATAATCTCATGGATGGTGATACCCTAAGAAAATGATATTTCCAATCGACTTCCTGAAATGACCATTTTACCTGGAGGCACTGTTCTAAAAAACGCTCTAGGCGTCCGACTAGTCCCCGCCTAGGCGCTAGGTGGTGGTCGGGCGCCCCGATTTTGGTCTATACACTCCGACTAATTGATTCGGCGCCTAGGTGAATTCATCGGCCGTCTAGCTAGGGTGCCTAGTTGCCCGCCCATAGTGCTTAATGGGCCGCCTGGGCGTCTAGATTCATCGAACATTTTTTTTTTTTGCTTTTTTATTTTAGTATCCTAAGAAATATGTACCTTTAACTTTGACAATGCATGTGAAGAAAGCTACTAGTCAGTAAGTGAGTAGATATAATATATTATTAAATGTGATAACTCTATCATTCATGCATGTTAATTTGTATTGTGTGTATTTTTTTATACACACACAAACACAACATTACTAATCATATTTATGCAAAAATATTGATAAAACAACAATTTCGATGTCTCCGATTAATCCTCGCCTAGCCGACTAGGCGTTAGGCGCTGGGCTGACGCCCAACTAGCACCTAGCGCCTTTTAGAACATTTCCTGGAGGTAAAGTTTATTGTATAACACACCATTTGGAGTTTGGACATTGTTCCAAATTGTTTAGTGTCATGTCATTGTTATTAACTAAGAGCATCTCCAATGTTGCGTGCAATGAGCACGGTGCACATGTGACATGCGAAATAGCCATATAAGTATCAACAAATAAATTATTTCTCCCCTGATTTGAATGATTTTATACAATTTTGATAATTTTTTCTCCACAATGTCAAGGAGACTGTCAAGATGTTAACATCGTGGTTGACATTGTAAAGAAAAACTTACCAAAATTATATAATATCACTCAAATAAGGAGAAAGATAATTTATTTGTTGATATTTATGTGGTTATCGCTTCTGTCACATGTGTAGCGTGGACATTATAGCATTGGAAATGCTCTAACAATAATAAAATAAATTGATTGAAATCTATTTACCAAATAAGGAAAAACATGCGTTATTTAGGGACATCAATAAAATTAAAAGAAAGTGAAATCTATTTACCAAATAAGGAAAAACATGCATTATTTAGGTGATTGAAACCTACTGCCACTCTGCTGACTGAGTCACTGTGACTTACATCCTCTCATGTGCTCTGTCGAGTAGGGGCACGGGGGCGCTTGGGGTTGGCGATTCAACCTTTTGGATCAATTGTAAATGTAAATTATTCTTGATCTTGTACTTTTTATATCCACTCTTTTTCAGATTTGAGTTTTTCAACTTTATAAGACATTTAATGCAATTTCTAAATATTTAAATTTTATTTATTAAAAATAATCATATAATTAACACAAACCAATTAATTTTGTGGGCAACCAAACATCGTAAACCGAACGAGAATGTTTGTGGTAACTTTTTCCAGTGTCTGACGGATTTAAATTTCCGGAGAACTTGATAGAGAAGACAGTGGGGGCAGGGTAGGCTGGAGTTAGTAGTTGGGTAGAAATTAGACTTGAAAGAAAAATATATTAGTTAAATGAAACTTAGTCACATTTAAAAAAATTAAAACTAGTACTCCCTCCTTCTCCCTATAATTGTCTTATTTTTTTCATTTTTGGGTGCCCCCTATTATTGTCTCACACCATATTTGGTAACGTTTGTGTGAGTCTAATTCATTCTTACTTTACTCTCAATTTATCAACTCACTATCAATCACATAATTCTATTTTTCTTAAAAATCACGCCACTCCTTTTCGTCCCAATATTAGGGGGACGGGAGGGAGTAATATTTTTGTCTTCCTAAAATACAACGGTAATATTTTTGTCTTTTTACATTAATTCATGATATATTCATTAATTTCACACATGAAATCGCCTCTCAACATAAGATATTGTGTTCCACTTGAGAATGTTTTTAATTGGATTTATTCTAGTATTAAACAAGATTAAATTTAATTAGATCATGTCAGACCAAATTTGAACATACTAGATCACGCCATATCGGATCAAATGAGACGAGATCACATATAGACAATATTATTGACACATAAAATAAAACATAAATAAAAAAAGAACATACTTGACAAGTTCAGACTGGGTCATACTTAAACATATCAAATCAGGCCATACTAAACCAAGAAATTCAATCCAATTAAAAGCATTCCAATTTAGAGACACGAAAGTCATGGACTTAATGCACCAAACCCCGTAGTGATATATATATTTAGCGTATTAGGTCTATGTGATTTAAAATGTGTCAACCCCCCATATTATAATTATTCATGCACATGCATAACCCTTTTTGTGAATAAATTTAACAATTTTAAAATCATTTTTCTTAATATAATGATTGAATATATAAGTAAATGCGTCAAAGTCTCTAAATTATACAGAAATGTGTATCATTTTTCATTTATTTGACAATTAAAATGGTTCATAAAAGAGATTTGTGTATGATTAATAATAACACAAGGGAGTTTGATACATTTTCTAAATCACAAGGGGCTAATGCGTCGAATTCCTACATCACAATGGGATTTGTTGCATTAAACCCCAAAAGTTAAACTCACATTTGGTCTTTTTTGTCCATAATCAAAATGAAATAATTACATAAATAAGACCAAAATAAAGATGGTTTACAAAAATATGACCAGTTACTAAAGTAGTAATGAAATCATATTAATTCATGATCAAGTTTTGAATTTAAGTTACCACAACATATGTTCTAGTAATGAATAGTCATATTTATGCAAATTAATTTTATTTTAGTAATACTCTTGTAAAAAACTCAATCAAATTTGACCTTATATTTGTCCATTTCAAACTTCATGGTATTATTTTAGATTTTAGAATTTTATCAATCTAGGAATCTAGGATCTAAAGATAGATTCATTGTAGGTTTTGGAAGATAATATGTGTTGATATAAGATTTAAATGATTGAAGCTATCAATTTGAGACCTGAAATATTGTAAATTTTTATCTATTTAATTTTTATGAAATGCGTTGCTAATTTTTGATGACTTTTGCTTCACAAAAGTGTTGTAGTTTGAGGAGATTATATAATATTTAATTTTTTGAAAATAAAAACTATTACAATTGATGAAATTTTAAGTTTTGGATTGATAATTTTAATCATTCTGTATCTTGTATCGATACATTTTATCTTTCAATTCCATTATAAACAATGAACCTATTTTTCAAATCTCTTATTAATAAAAATCTCTTATTTTTTATTTTTGTCAATGTTTCAAATATTTAAATACTTCTAAAAAAAGTGTAACAAACACGTAAATGTTTAAAGCCATGTACTCCCTCAGTCCCAAATTGTAAGATACATTTACGGTTCACTTGGTCAACACAAATTACTCTTAATCTTTTATTTTATATATCAAAAGTTTATGAAATGTGAATTATTTTTTGCAGGTTTTGTAGCGATTTTAATGTGGTTTCTGAATATGTAAATTTCATTTTGTAAAACTAATTTGAATATTAACAGATATCAATTTGCTTTATCGTCGACAAAAAATCATAAACCGTAAAGTATTTTACAATATGGGACGGAAGGAGTATGTAATTTGGCTTTTTAAGTTTGACATGGGACACATACACACTATTTAAGGTCATGATTAATTCTTTATATTTTTCAGTCTTTCCTAATTTCCATTCGCCCAACTTTCTCAAATTTCCTTTTTTTTTTTAATTGTCCAACTAAATTTGTTATTTCCCTTTTTAAATGCGTAGTAATAAATTTAGGATACTTGTGACTTGTGATTTATTTCCTTCATATTAAACTCAATCATAGAAATTTAATTTATTATTATTATTACTACTAGTACTAGTATAAATTCGCTACTAACTTTGTTAAAGGAAGGGTAAGTCTACTTGAATGGGTCTCGTGCCTCACCCGAGTCCTATATGCACAATGGAAGAGGTATGTTTTTATGGTTTCTTGTGATTATAGCGTGTGATGAACAGAGTATGTCTGAAGAGCTTAATTGATTTGATCTTCCAATATTAGTTAATGCGCAGTTCTAAAATAATCTGGAATATATTCATTGTCCAGTTCAAACAAACCCCACCGGAGAGACGCCTCTTTCAGAATCTTAATGCTCTTCTTGAGACTATTAGACTCTGGTGGGCTGATATGAACGGATAAACCATTACAAATATCTTGATTGGTTACCATTTACATATACGAGTATAAATTGGAAATATTTAGCCAACCCTTTTACAATTACCTTCAAACTATTACAATTGGATAGTCAAGTTTTACTTTTTAATTTCAATTGGTTCTTTAGATTTAACTTATACATATATGTATATATCGCAATGTCTGTTTCTTAATTCGTAGTCCAAAGGGTTCGTTTCAATTCTTCATCCTTATTCATGTATTACCCTTCCCAAAAATCTGGTTTAATAGGGTTGATCGGGTTTAAGCTGGACAAGAACAAACTTAGAAAAGTAGGATAGCAAAATACTTGACCAATTGAGTCTTCATATCTGACTTAACAGACCGTGCAAAAAAGTTTAGTTCAACTCAAAAAACCATGCCATACTCTGTATGATGCTCTTACTCACCAATCCTTTTCATAATAGGTTGGAGCTAATTCGAAAAAGGATGATTTAGAGGTTAAAAATGAGAATGATGACACTATTCGTGATTGGGCAAATCTTCCAGGCGACCTCTTGATACAAATATTGCAACATCTTTACCTTGACGATGTCAAACGTTTTCACAAAGTATGCAAATCGTGGGATGCTCTCGAAGATCCTAAAGAACATAATCCGCTCACCTTCCCCACTATTCCCTCTCAATGGCTTGTTCACAAGGACACCTACAATGACACCGTATTAAAATTCTTTCACGGCGTTTACGACCATAGCTACTCCGTAGATATCCCCGAACTGTTATCGTCAGTTTTGTTGTATTCCAACAATGGTTGGCTCCTGTTACGTGAAGGTATTGAAATAATCTTCTTTTTCAACCCATTCACCAATGAGAGAGTTGACTTGCCTAACAAACCCGGATGGGTTGTGTGGAAGGGTGCCATCTTCTTGTCTGAACCAACCGCTACTGATTGCATGGTTTTTGGGGTTATGTCAGTTATGGGAAAGTGGGTTCGTATCTACACAATCAGCCGCGGAGAAGGGGATTGGGAGGAATCTGTATTTGATTTTGATGAGGACGACACACCCATGTTCCAATCCGTGTGTAGTCCAGTTTTCCATAACGGCAAGCTATATTGCTTAGGCGCGGAAGGAAAAATGGGCGTGTTTGATCTCAAAGGAAGAAATTGGACGATTCATGACGTTTCGGGCCGGCCTCACGTGGATCAAACGGATGAAAGCTATCTTCTCGAGTGCAATGGACAACTGATGGCAGTGTTTCTGTCATTCATGGGACAAGAGATTTGCGTTCTTGCACTGGACGCGGATAAAATGGAGTGGGAAAAAGTGGACAGTTTGGGTGAATTTATGTTGCTCATCAGTGCTCCTACATCTCTCGCAGTCAAGGCAGTTATAGCCGGAATGGAGAACAAAATTTACTTCCCCAGATTCTATGATCACCAGATTGTGTTTTACTGTCTTAAAACCTGTTTGTACAAGACATTTGGGAGCTTCTCAAAAGAAGACTTGTTTGAGACGGCAGAACAACTGAACTGTTGTTGGATGCAACCATCTGCTGCCCGTGCTTCTACTCCAAAGCATCTTGATTGGTTAGTCTCCTTGCATGAAGAAAGATGAAGGCCTTAATTAGACAGTATAATGTTGTGAATTCCTATTAATTAATTTGTGTTCTGTACGATGACATGTTTTTATAATTAATTAGCTTAGTCTCAACCATATTTTCCAGAATACTCCCTAGATAGAAGGTTAGGAACTTAGGATCTTATAATTCGTGTTATGTACTATGGCAATATTGTTATGTAATATGTGGATGTCCATTATGATATCTGGCCTGTTAGTATTGTTAGAGTCTAGCCCATCCCATATGTAACCCTATCCCTGACTCCACTTGTATATATATACAAGTACATGTTAATGAAAAGGATGATCATTCGGACTCATAATACGTTATCAGCACGAAGCTCTAGACAAAAAAAACCGATCCGCCTCTCCTTGCTTCTGTCCATCAATCGTCAACCATAGGCGTTCAAGCTCTAGACGCACAGATATTGTTTCGAAGCTATGGACAGAACTTTGCGAGACATTCTTAGATTCACTAATTCGTTTAGTGCTGACAAACCTTTTGGAGGGAAAACGGTTGTTTTCGGAGGAGACTTCAGACAGATTTTACCGGTCATCACAAAAGGTCGCAGACAAGACATAGTCAATGCGGCGATTAATTCTTCATATCTTTGGCACGAGTGCATTGTATTACGTTTGACTAAGAACATGAGATTGCAATCCTTGAGTGACGATCGTGAATATGAAGATTTGGTAGAGTTCGCCAAGTGGATTGCTAACTTGGGGGATGGTACTGAGGGAGAAGATAATGATGGCTTTGCCGATGTTCAGATTCCGAGCGACATTTTGTTGGAGTGCGGAGACGATCCCATTGCTACAATCGTAAAAAGCACATATCCGGACTTTGAGAATATTGCCAACGATCCGACTTATTTGCAAGAGCGTGCAATCTTGGCTCCAACTCTTGATGTGGTCGATGCGATTAATGAATACATGACCTCTTTGAATGTCAATGAAGAGTCAAGGACATATTTAAGTTCGGATAGCATTTGCAAGTCAGACTCTAATGCGGATTTTTTGGCAGATTTGCATACTCCGGAGTTTCTCAACAAAATACGTGCATCCGGAGTTCCGAACCATGAGTTAATCCTCAAGGTTGGTACTCCAATAATGCTTTTAAGAAATATTGATCCTTCAATGGGGCTATGCAATGGAACAAGGTTGATTGTTACTCGGCTTGGAAATCACATACTTGGAGCAAGAATTTTAGGCGGAAAATATGCTGGGCTGGAAGTTGTCATCCCAAGGTTAAGTTTGACTCCATCAGATGCAAGAATACCGTTCAAGTTTCAGAGGAGGCAATTTCCAGTCATGCCTTCTTATGCGATGACAATAAATAAGAGTCAGGGCCAATCTTTGACCCATGTTGGACTCTTATTAAAGAAACCTGTCTTTACGCATGGTCAATTGTACGTGGCAGTATCTAGAGTGACAAACCGTAAGGGTTTGAAGATATTGATTTGCGGCGAAGATGGGAAAAGCACTGATCGTACTACAAATGTTGTTTACAAAGAAGTCTTTCGAAATGTTTAGTTCTGTAGATCTCATTGTATGATTCAAATGCTTACAAACAAGTGTTTCGAACTTTATTATGTGTTTCGTTTTTCTGTCTTTCCTAATATATAAATTGTACCTATTGTTAAAGATAACTATAGTTTTCTCTATAATTATTGTATATTGTTCATATATCTATTACATGCGTATAAAAACAATATAATCTACACATGCACTAATAACGTTGATAAATAAGAGTATATAACTATTCGATAATATAGACCGCGCATCGCGCGGGTGAAAATCTAGTGTTAATGAAAAGGATGATCATTCGGACTCATAACACGTTATCAGCACGAAGCTCTAGACAAAAAAACAGATCCGCCTCTCCTTGCTTCTGTCCATCAATCGTCAACCATAGGCGTTCAAGCTACATCGATTGATTTTCGCTGCCGAAAAAAAAAAAGATGGATCAACGCTCATCTCTGCCAGTGTTGAGTGCTCTTCCTGGATCACACGTTTCCTGGCTATTATCCTAGCACGAACTGCTCTAGATCCTTAGATCCATGGGAACACACTCGTTCTCGAAATCCCAATCGTCTGCTATCCAGGCAACGTCCAAAGCAATGGGCCGCTAGGAATTCCATGGCAACAAGTCCTCTGGCGGTTGTCCAACAAAAATCTTTTGGAAGGGAGGCTGTCAACAAAGCAGCGGACTCCTCCGGCTTTGGCTATGGATCATCATCGTGGACTTTCATTTTTAGGAACGGCAATGCCCCATCCTACACACAATAATCTAGAAGCGTACACTTTCTCTCCCTCCAGTTTTGCATTTGAGAATAGTCCATTTAATTCTCTCCACCAGCAAATAGAACTCCCACCAAGTACGTCTAACGACTTGCCTTCCTTAATGGTTTTTCAATTTTCATTAATATTTTCTATTTTCATAGAAATATTGGAATGGTTTGATGATCAGTTCTCTATAACCCCAAAATATGATTGCAAAAAACATTTGAATGTCTTTTTACATAGGGAAACTAAAAATTAATAATCCCAACCTTTTATCAGTCTTCTTACAATAGTCCCACCTTTTCTACTCAGATCTGTTCGATCTGATGTTACGAAGTTACTTCGGTTTTTGTATTTTAAATTAAATTGTATCGATATGAAATGTCTTAAAATGCATTTGTGACTTTCAAAATCAGGGCGTAATTGCTATTTCTGATAGAATAAGATACCTAACGTAAGTTATACTGTTTTATACTAAATCAATTTCTTTCAAAGTGTTCAAGATAAAGTCAATCTCAAGTTCATCTTATTATTGTGGGCTGTGAAGAAATACTTAAATTTCTCATCATTGGTCCTTACCTCATTTCAGGGTTGCCTACAGTGGAAGTAAAAGAACATCAAAAAAGAGATATCCCTTTAATTGCTGAAGCATTGATCAAAAACTTGATAGGTTGATATAACTCCTTTATATCAACCACCTTTTTTCTAAATTATACTCCATATATGCATCCAATCTTCACATTTTGATTTAATTGAAACCATTGTGTGTTAAAACTAATGTAAATAATTCACTTAATTGTCACACAGCTTTTTAAAATTTTCAAAATATAACATGGTTAAATTAATTGCCAATACCCATGTGCTTTTATTAAATCTGAAATAAAGTGAAATTTCAAACTGTGTTATTAAACATAGTGTTTTTTAAATGAAAACTTATTGTTCGAAACACATGGTTATGAACAATATATTTTTGAGCAATTTTTCGCATTAATAATATAATTTATATAATCTAAATTTAATAAACATATCTTCTTATGGAAAGCATATATATTAAATATATTTATTAAATGCTATATATTGATTTAATAATCAAAAGGTTGAGGTCAAGTCCCTGATTTCAACCCCCAATTCATGGTATTTTGATTCATATTTTGCAATTATAATTAGAGACATACGCAAACATCCCAACCTAGTTTGTCTGTTCTTTTAAAAATATCTCCAATCTCAAGTTTTGTTTATATATGGTATCCAAATCAAGAATTGAGTTTCACATTTTTGGTGCGTCTATAAGTTCGGATTTACCCTGTTCACATTGGTTTTAGAAAGAATGGTTTAAAAATTAATCAAAGCTCTGGCTTACCTTGATTAATTTGAAACCATTCTTTGTAAAATGCAATGATATTAAACATTTGATCTTCACAATTTATTTAGAAACTTTCAAATATCATATATCCGTAGTAGTTTATAATCACATCAATCTGTCTTTACTAATTCATACATACTCTAGAATCTCTTTAAAATATTGTTCAAAACCATTATTTCTTAAGCAATATTTTTGAACGTACTCTCCTTGACAACCAATGTTGTCCGTTCTCTTGTACGTTAGTGAATTAGGAGTAACAATGAAATTCCTCACAATGTAGACATTTCCTTCTTTTTTCTGATCCTTGAACACACCAAGCCTTCTTCACAAATTGTAGCATGACTTCTGACACCCTATAAAAATGAGAGTTTGAGTAGGTTAGTGACTGTAAAATTTTGAAACTTATACAGTGTACAACAATGATTTTTCAACATGATCATGAAACACACATTCGAGTGTTCTGATCACGTTTTTTGTTGGTTAAAGTCGGAACTCCATATGCAACCACCATCCTCATTTGCAGTGCCCAGTTTGGCTTTGAGGTGCTAAGCTGTCTTGAACCTTCTGCAATAATTTAGCACTGAAATGAAACACTAACAATTTAATAATAATGATCTTAAGTTAAAACATGAAAGAAAATGTGTAGAAGTATAGCTATGCGTGCTTGTGAGATTTTTTGATATCTTGAATTCCTTTTTGCAGCAGCATATATATAATTATTCGTGAGGGAAACTGCATTGAGGAACTGCTTGTGAAGACGTGTCAGTTGAGATGTAACTGGCCCATTATTGGACTTCGAATGGCCAATGCCACGTGGTTGTAGCTGAGAATTTCCAGAATTCCAGGACAATGAGTCGTTGTTTTGAAAAAGGAATTTGTATTGTGTTTGTATTTAGTCATCTGTTGACACGTGTAATAATTTAATGGTCAGATTGCACCTAATTCTTCGCACGATTCAGCTTTTATATACTCCGTATATAAAGATTTCTTTGTCATCCTGTTAGAATGGACCATTTGGTATACTATACACACCAAGAAGCCTGCCCATTTGTTTAAAAGTGTGGGTTAACTTAACAATGTTTATACCAAACAGTTATACGTGGTATGCTTTCACCTGTGTCAAGTTGAAGTAGAGATACTAATTTATACATATGTGAAAGGAAAGGATAAACGTTCAAATGAATTTGTGGCAAATTATAAAAGTTAAGGAAGATAGTTACACTTTGATTTCCTAGAATGCACATATCATCACCCGATTTATTCTTTCTCTAATTTTATTTATGTTGATGAATAGATGAGTTTAAATACCACTCCAAATCTGCAATTTATGTGCTACATGTGTATGGTTCATATTCTGGATTTTTTACTCGTTTGATTGCTTAATTATTTGAATTATCTACATATACTATTTGATTAATTATAGATATTATTTATAAGTTCTGATTTCTGAATATAGCAAGTGCTGAATTAATTCGAAGATTACATGTCCTTTTTTTGAAAATCTTTTAAAGTGACAAGAGTCTATTGGCTCCATCGGTGGATATATTAATTTAAAATATAAATGATATTTTATGAAGCATGCTAGTTA